GGGAAAGAGACAGAATAGTGAAGTTGTCATTAAGCTATCAACAAACATGAAGCCACAGTATGACCCAAAACAAAACCAGACAGATCAAAAGATTCCAAACCACTGACAGCCTAGCTGGGGAGGAACAGGACCCGGCTGCTGGGTTAAATCCATTGCAACACTGGGAATGCGCACCGCCAACTTCATACTCAACCCAGATCTCTGCATCCTTGTTTTGGTGGTCAAATTCTAAACCTCGTTTAGGGTGTTTCTTTGCACATAAATATATACGAGCATGCCTTTTCTGATTAAGCACTTGACATGAATACGAAAAAGAATCAATCATGTATGAGTCACGGATTTGTAGACCTGGAAGAGTCTTTAAAGACCAAGTCTAACCGTCAGTTTTGCAAATGAACAATGTTCATTGACTAGTCTAAGGTCAGCTGGCAAGAAGGTAACAGAGCCTAGACCTGAACCAGACTGGAAATGAGCAGCACTGATTCTAAGGCTGATGCATCCTATTTGGGTAAGAAGCAGCCACTAGAGATGAAATGTGAGACCAAACTGATCGGGAACTTGGACACACACATGAACTTTTTTGAAGAGTTATGAATCATTAATATTTCTGTTTCAGAATTAATAGACAGGGAGCTGTGCCAACACAATCTTTGGAATTGTAAGGATGCATTATCACATCAACATGTTTCAAACGTGGTTGCCATCTTCTGAATCAATTTTAGAAAATTAATGACTGATTTTTTGTGTGTGAGCCAAAGTTTTATTAGCAATATTGCATATAAAAGTCAGAAAATTTTGTAAACATAATGCAGACAATGTTCTGTATAAATAGTTTGTATTTTTTTTTCTAAGTAGATATGGTGCCTTCAATTTGCATCCTGAATAAACAACCTCATTAAGTCAGCCCCAGCTAAACTCTCTTGGTGGAATTTCTATGCAAGCCTTGGGGTAACCAATTTAAATTATATTTTTATTAGCAGTGTTCCTTTGAATTTGAATGAAAGTAACAGAAAAAGCATCTATTTTCTATCTGCCTGCTGTTTTGTTTTTGACTGCAAAACTATATCTTCACCATTTCCATTTTGAATGTATTAAAATTCAATTTCAAACACTAAGAGATATCATTTACTTGCTTATTTTTACCTCTTCATATCATACCCAGCCACTCATGGCAAAACTAAATCATTAAAATATCTATAGTTTAATATCATGACATTTTGACCCAAAGACAAAGTGCTATCTGAGGCCAATGGAAAGATGACATCAAGTCTTGAAATTACTGGAAAGGAGTCCAAAGCATAATTTTAAAATGTTAAATCACAATGAAAACGTATTTCTCTGTGATACAATTTGAGATACTCTTCCTTTAAACCATATCAAGATAAATAAAAACAAAAATAAACAAATCACATGCACAAAATCATCCAAACCAGAGCATGAAGGAATTGTAGCTTAACATGTATAAAGCATGTAAAGAAAATACAATCTCCTAGTTAAAATTAGCTTACAGAATCATGTCTAGAAAAAAAAGTCAGTGTGTATATAAAAATAAAAAATTAAAGAAAAATATTTTATAAAATAAATGTATAAATATAATATTTTAATCAGTCTAACTTTGACTTAATCTCAAACTTCAAGCCAAGTCTTAAAATTTAGCCTGCACTTCCCCAAACAGAGGCCTCCTGGTCATGAAGGTGGTTTGAAAATCTGTGAAAGATGGATTTTCATACCTAGCAAAACTTCCTTGGCATTTGACTAAAATGGCAAAGTACAGATGAGATGTTCGGTTAAAAGTTAATATAGTGTACCTTTAGGTTTCCCCCTCCCACATTCCTAAAAGAACCCCATTTTATTCAAGGGGTTCAAGCACATCCTCCAGGGAAACTTATCTAAACTCCAGGGGTGGTTCTAGTTAGTCAAGGAGTAATCCATCCTGCTTATCAGTTTGGGAGGCAAAAATGGTTCATGACCCAACTGGGTCTTAAATCCAATACAAGGAGGATCAGATGGAGGTTTCTGGGAAAATTACCTTCCTTCTGGAACCTTTTCAGAAACTCTCCCTTTTCTCAGATCAATGTGAACAACCATAGCCCCTTTGTTGGCCTCAGCTAATAATGCACTGGGGGGAGGGGCGGGGGCATTGGTGAAGGCAGAACAATGGGCAGAGGAGGGGTAGAGATGAAAAAAACTTGGGTTCCTGATGACATGATTAAGCTGCTGGTTTAATCCAAACCTAAAACATGCCCTACCTTTGAGGAGGCTGTCTATAAGCCAAACTTCCTTATTATATAAGAAATGTAATTTTGAATTGGGTTTACTGTCATAACTAGAAACCGATACACTGCCGTTTTCTTGGTAGCCATGGCTTTTAAACAGGCAATTAGTTCCCAATTATGGAAACAAATTGTTGCAGCAGAATGGATTTACTACTTCCAAGAATAGAGCATGAGAGAGAAAATGCTATTTACAGGCACTGTAAATATCAAGGGAAAATGGTCATCAATATTGAATGATTTTGCCGGGCCGGAATGGCTCGTTTGGTTTAGTGTCATCCTGTGCACCAAAGTGTTGTCAGTTCGATTCCTGGTCAAGGTACATGCCTGGGTTGCAGGTTTAATCCTACACATACAAGAGGCAATGATAATGTTTCACTCTCTCTCTCCCTCTCTCTAAGCATGTCCTTGGGTGAGGATAAATATATAGAGAGAGAACAATTTTATTAGAAGTATTATTTTGGCCTATGTATTACCTGAAATGTATATTTAACTGCACTTAAAGGTTTTCTGTTAGCTGATTTATTTCATGCTAGACAAACATTTTGAAAAAATACAAAATAAAGACAATGTGATAGCTACCTTCATAAATTACGTCGGGATAATTTGGGTCTGCACCTAAAAAAACAAAACAAAACAAAGAATTGTAAGTATGCATTCAGAGTTTAAAAAATACTAACTCATTCCCACTAAAACGAGCCAAATATTTACTGAAGATTTTATGCCTGAATAAATTGTTTTATAGGACAGGTAAATAAAACCTGAAATTCTGTTTACTTTATGTTAACTCTGCTCCCCTCCCAGGCCCACAACTTCCACCCCTCTAAAAAAGAAAACAAAAATCAAGAGAAATCACAAATCACTTTAGCTGGAAAAATTCCAGCAATTAATGACTTAAGACCAATTTTTTTTTACTGTTTCTATTATAGAGTTGGCTATTTTAATTGCAATTTGTATTCCAAAGACAGACCATTTCTGTACCACTGTTGTGATTCTAGGTTGATTTGGGGGTTCCTTTCAAACTATGCCTTTGGCAGGTCCATTTGCATTTGTGAAAACACTATTAATCGGCCTGTATAACAATATCTAAAGCAATTTGAACAAAATTGCTTTGTTCACTGCTTGGTTTTCAGGAGGTTGCCAAGGCTGAATAAGCCCTTCCCTCTTTTTATTGTTTTTGCCCTGACACAACACACACACACAAAAATAAATGTACTTTCTCTATTGAAATAGTTTATGTATGCAATTATAAATTAATATGTCAAAGAGAAGTGCAAAAGTATACCCACTTCATTTTTTGAATGACTGTATTCACTGAGATGATCAGAATATTTTTAAAATATTCCTATGAGAATTTGCAAAAACATTTTGTAAAAATCACTGTCAACAAGAACTGGTGACAAAAATATTTCTTACTTTCCATTCAGAACTTACTGGGCCTCTAGATGAAAGCCTATTCGGAAATAAACTTATATTTTGATATAACATTTAAGTGATTATTAAATAAATTTCCAAAGCTACTTCCTATGCTTGTAGTCTTCACTTATCATGTGAAAAAGTAAAACTTGTAAATCATAAAGCTTACTTAGTTCTCATATCTCTTTTGAAGCTTTAGCAGAAAAATATTATTTAAAATAAAGTGAAATGAGCCAATTTTCTGTTCATGTACTCCCTAGTGAATACTTAAGGTTAGCCTAAATGAAGAAACAAATAAAAGTGGCCCCGTTTAAATTAAATTTTTTAACACAGTTCAACTAGAAGAACATCTATTTTAGCAAGAGAAAAATTAAGTAGATGATTGTGCACTTGATTCAGGGATGTTATGTACTGCCGTGCAGTCCACACTTTGTACAACTCTAGGGGGCACTATTCGGCCTAGTCTATGTGAAAGGCACCGTCTGAAATTATGCAGTGCATACCTGTGCAGGATTTGAGATGGCCCTGTGTCAATTCATGCAAAATTATTGATTCCAGGAATTTTCAGTGGTATTTTGAGTTTTATTATCCCAAATACCATTTCTAGGTTTTGAGTTGCAATATGTCCATATGTACTGTCAGAATTATTTGTACCTGATGTGGCATTCCAGAGAAGGGCCTTGAAACTACCCTGCACTTTGAGAGGTAATTCAGTGAATAAAGCAACAGACAATCCCAGCAGCAGCCCTGGCAACTTCATTCGCCAGGCACACACCCATCTGCTGAAGTCCTTTCCCATTGCAAACTTCATGGACCAAATGGTGTCCCCTCACTG